TTACATTCCTAATGTTGTTAAAAGCACCCGAATCGCCTGCGTATCTTCTTAAGATTGGCAAAGTAAACGTAAGTACCTTATGGTTTTGTATCAAATCAAAATTTGTATTAATTATGAATCACTGTGAGTGTGTGACCTGCGCAGTTAATTTTTCTTGAAATATTCATTTTTAATCTCGCATGTAATTAAATACCTACTCGTGTATAGTTTGAGTTGTTATCTGTAACTATGCAACATTTTATTTGCTTGTCAACAGTTTTTATCTAGAATAATATATATTTTGTTCAAAATTATTTACATAAGTTTCATCATACTCATGCAACAACACCTTCAATTATACGTACGCGATATCTATTTCATAGGAAGCCACATCAGCAATAGCATTTCTTCGAGGCCTGAACGCAGGCAATGAGCTTGTAATAAAAGAAATCGAAAATATGAAAAATGAGGATCTTTACATCAAATCACTGCCCAATGTTAACTTCTTTAGCATATGTAAGTAGATGAGGAACGATATAAACGCCATTATGATAAACGTAGCGCCATGTAGATTATCGAATATCGAATTAGAGGTAAAAAAATAATACGTAAAAAAACTATAATATCATGGAACACATACCAAACAATTCTTAGATAATTTAAAAGTAAACTCTATAAGGTAACCGGACAGTACTCCATTAACCTATTTAACTATTTTCAGGTTTTAGTTTATCTGTGAAAAAATTCGTTTGTGTTGTTTATGTACGTTTAATTCGACTGTGTTTTAGATAAGATCATTGGTTTCAGTTAAAAACAGCGTTTGGCGTCGAAGTTTTCTCATAATTATGTCACTGATGACCATGCACGCCTGCAACGGAAGCTTCGCTATAATCATTTTCGCGTCTCCGATCCTTACAGATTCTGGAAGCAATGTTAACCCAGAACTGCAAAGCATCAGCTTTCCTTTCATTAGTACTGTTGCAGTCTTTATTTCTATGGGCTGTGTTGAACGCTTTGGTAGAAAGGTAACTGGAACTCTTAATAAATTGATTAGGTGGAACCCTTTTACACTCATCATGGTTGTCTAATAAACAAAAGATACTATGGCTATCTAAAGTCCCTGACCCTTTTTGTAAGTTGACACACAGAAGGTTCTGTTCTACGTCTCCGCTAAATCAAATGATATTCCATATTAGATATGTTAACGATCTCTGAAATGTATTTATCATCCCTGTTTACAGCCACTCTTAGGTACCTGTTTCGCCCTGATAGCAGCTGCAATGATGTGCGTCGGGACCGTAGTACTGATTCAGCATTTTGGCGGCACTGTCCCATTTTGGATACCTTTAATTGCAATGATAATTGCTGTAGCAGGGTACGCCGCTGGACCCTCGCCTGTACCATTCATCGTATTATCTGAAATGTTTAACTTTCAGGTAAATTCAATAAAATATTTTTTTGTTTATTACAAATAAAAATTATGCAAGACAATGTCTTAATTCATTATAATAGAGATTAAAATGAATCTAGGAATTTACTATGCTAATTCGTTCATTCATTTCTTTAAACTCATGAATCTAAATAAAACAAATGATTTTTGTTTCAGATTCGAGCAAAACTGATGGGTTGCATTGTCTGCTACACGTGGCTCATGAATTTTATACAACTATTTATTTTCGCGCCAATCTCCAATGGATTAGGTCTCTATGCTACGTTTTACTTATATGCTGGAATGAATATCTTAGCTATATTCATATCTTTGGTAGTTCTACCGGAAACTAAAGGGAAATCTGTTGAGGAAATTGAAGATATTCTGAAAAATAAATACAAATTAACAGACTAAGCAATGAAAGGATGCAATTATTTCCGTACTTACCTAGCAAAATTTTGTTTCGTTATCTCGCTGCAAAATCTTAAATAGTTAATGAAAAAGATATGTAAAGTATGCACATTTTCCTTTCCTACTTTTATTTTGGAAATGCAAAAAATATGATTTATGTTTAAAAGGCAAAACAGTTGGCAATAAGGGGTCTAATTACACTGTTCAAAATTAGTAGAACAAACTTTAGATGTGGCGTGTCTACGTAGAGCAAACAATTTACTCGACATTTTTGCAATAGTGTCTTAATGTTTCTTGGAAACGTAACGCTTACTTCTGATATTTTAGGGTAAGAGTACTGTGTATACATATAAATAGTTATTTGTTATACAAGGCTGCAAAGTTATTGTTTGACGCGAGTGCTTGTATTAAAACCTGAGCAAGCGAAGGATGCTAAGATGACCCACGAGTGAAGCGTTCAAAATGTTTGTTTTTTGCGAGTGGTTATAAAAAACAGAATCCAAAACATAGCGAGTCCTGTCAGAACGACGGAATTTTGTTTGTGTTCGATCTTTGTATTATTAATTATAACAAACTACTTAGTGGAGTGGTTTCACAAATAATTACAACATTTTTATAAAAAAACGGCTTCAAAGTTCGTGGAGTTACATCTATTTGCCAAGTTTTTTTAAAATCAGTTACCGGAATCATTAAGATCGGTTCACAAATGCCGGAGTAATAGCGTAACATACAAGGAAAAAAAATATAATCAAATGGAGAGCCTTTTTTTGAAGTCGGTTAAAAATGAAGCTATATTACGAAGTGACATTTCGGATGTATTGCAACGTTATGTTATGAGTAATATTCCTCAATTTGGAAAGTAAAACTTTTAATGCTTATCCAAGAGTCGTAGAACAAAAACTTTTGATATCTTTTTTTTAAGCACACTCTCAACATAGGAAAACCTTGTGTCGCGGGTGCCATGGACACACATATAGACAACCACAAATTGCACCCAAACTCACGAGAGAAACAAATTTAGGCTATACAGATATTTCGCGCGGCCGGGGAATCGAACCTGGGACCTCTGCATGGCAGTCCGGCATGGTGACCGTTCGGCCACGGAGGCAGTTATATCTCCAACAAGCTCCTCAATTTTGGACGCTAACTTCATAGACATATTTTAAAAGAAATGCGTATTCCAGTGTACATTTTAAATATACCATATGCATCAAATTATGTAGTTCGTGCAAAACGAAGTAATAGAACTTAATACATTCAACAATTGATTTTTATTCAACTCTAAAGTAAATCTTTTGTGTTCGTGTTAACGAAAAGCTAAGACTCACCAAGTGCAGTTATTTATAAAAAAGGATCATTCTGATAACATTCGAGAGCGTATAACACGTGTCTCTAATAATAAATGTCAGATCATTTACAGCAGTTACCTGATTTTGAATAAAATAACCTTTAATGCCTGAGTAACAAACGTAAAAACTAGCCTGAAGTCAGTCAGTCAGTCAATTCTGATCTTCAGAAATAAAAATTGCTATGAATAGCTACAAAAAATTAACGATTTCAATTATTATTTTTCGTTTTTAAATTTTGTTTTTTTTGGCTGGCTTTCAAGTTAGACTAAATAATATCAAGTGACGGGACGAACAAGTCGTGCGTCTGATGATAATCTACACGCCGGTCCATAGCAATTGCAGTGCCAATTAGAGCTTTAACTCGCAAGATCTGAGGGGCAATACCACTACGCCCGTCACCCTGAGACATAAGTTGACAAGTCTCATGTACCAGTAATTTCACCAGCAACCTTTCCCTTCAAAACCGGAACACAGTAATGTTAGACATTACTTCCCTGGACGAACTCTTTCACAAGGAGCTTTACTGCTACTATATACATAAATATATATAATAAATTATAACACAATGAATATCTTGTTGATTTGGTATTTAATGTATGATCCGTTTGTACCAAAACTTATGCATCAGAGCTGTGAAAAATTTAATGAAAAAATGGAAAATTTAATGGAAAGTTTTAATATACATTATTATAAAGGAATACTCGTATATACATTATAACCCTGTGTAAGACCAGTTAAGATTATTCAAAACCAATAAAGTTATTATGTTAAAAATAACCGTGCTGATATGTAGGTAAGTATGCAACGAATGAAAACTCTCAAAAAAGAAATTGCTGCGGAATCAGAACAGATTTCAACACAAAAGTCCGTTGTGTAATTTTCTATATATATTAAGACCATATTGTATTGACTTGACAAATGTTATCAGTATATCTATAAAAAAAACAGCAAACACCGAAAATCTAAATTATCCATATGAAGATGTATGTCAGGATCGTTGCCAGGGGTAGTCTGTTGTCTCTGCCCATCTCGATGGGCAAATGGTGTATAGTATGTATGTATTATGAAAAAACCAATTTTCGAAAAACAAAAACACTACTACGTATATAAACGATCCAAAAGCGATAATGCAACTGACACTTCTCCAAACGAGACCGGACAATCTATACGTCTCATTGACACCTAGGGCATTGTTGATTACTGAACCGTAATGGCAAGGAATCTTGATGATGGGCAGCTAACCTCGCTAGTGGAAACCACTCAGGCATTTTGTACGGGAAAGTAGGTGTTGCATGGCATTTCTTAGTGGTAAAATAAAACTTCAAACCAATCAGTAGATAGCACATACCAATAATAATATTTTATTAAAATTATAGATTCGAGCAAGAATTATCACTTTGTAATTGTATAAATAAACCATAAATGAAGATAAATTGATTAATAAGTAATTATAATAATGTGCACAAAATGAAGAAAGACAAAAATAAATAAATTTATTAAGTACGGTGTGCATTGTTGTCGTTTGTATTAAATCTCTATTTTGTTATTGTTCAAGTGAGTTTGAAATTGATTGAATTTTTTTTTAATAAATCGTTTTACCTGTAGAAGTTGAAACTTAAAAAACAAGAATTACATCAAAACCTTGAGATAGAGGAAGAAACATAGAATGACAGATAGCACGTAGTGTTTATTATAGTTACAAAGGAATCGGGCTTCTGATCCAAACCGATGGAATATAGGCCAGCAACAATAGCCGCATTATGTCATATATCCTTATTAAACAGGATGAATGAGGGGCAGCCGCAATCCGTCTCCGGCGCGGCGGCACGGTTACTTTATATTCTACATACATAAGTCTATCATTTTGATTTGCTAAACTAAAATCAACTATTTTCAGTTTTTTTTCTAGATTGTTTTTGTGTCATTTTTGAACTACACCACGACCAAATGAAAAAAATACCATATACAGCATTTAACAAAATTGTGTTACCATATTTCAGCTTTTGATAACTACTATTCTCGGTGACTAATAATAACAATATGATTTTCCTTACAAGTGTCACATATGTTTTACGCACGTAGGTACTGTTTGCACATTCTATGGGGAACCAACATTTCAGCTAGAACCGCTTGTGGCCATGAGTTTATTTTATCACCAATTGAAATAATATGATCGCCCTGTTTTTACACCTTTAGATGTCAGTTTTAAAAAAATATTTTGTTGAACACTATACATAGCAGACAAGCCGGGCCCGCGACTTAGTCTGTTTACTATACCAATTTTCGTAGTTTTATTGGTTCTCCATACAAACTGCCATCCCCTATGTACCCTTGTTAAGATTTATTTTTGTAACAAAAAGTAGCCTATGTCCTTCTCCTAGGTCCCATCTCTCTATACCAAAATTCATCAATATTGGTTTAGGCCAAAACGTTAACAGACAGAATTACTTTCGCGTTTATAATATTAATTTGGATTAATGTTTATTAATATATTATTATAAGGTTGTAGTCTGTTACAGTTTTACTGCTGTCAGTTTTTTTCATAATCAATTACCGCAATAATGATAACATAATAATAGTTAGCCTACATAAATCCCACTGCTGGGCACAGGACCTCCTTTCACAATGAGGAGCTATATTTCCCACGCGAGCCCAGTGGGAATTGGGAACTTCTTATACACATCATTAAATTACTTGGCAGATGTGTGTAGGTTTCCTCACGATGCTTTCCTTCTCATAAAAGCTCATGGTATATTTTAAATAAAATTTCGCAAATAAATAATTCTGAAAATTCAGAGGTGCAAGCCCCGATTTAAACTCACTCGGAATCTGATGGACAGGTAATTCATAGCTTAGTTTTTTTTTTTTTTTTTTTTTTTTTTTTATTTTTTTCCCATCAACTACTTAGGTATATTACAATCACAATTTTACAACATTTAAAAACCATTAAGGTTCGAGTCAATGCTGTTATTAATCTACATCGAAAAAACATAAACGGTATTATAATAAAGTATATGAAAGTATATGTATACACATACCTATACCTACTAATAATAAGTGTGATGATAACTGGTCGATTGTTTTGAATATAAGTGGAGTAGATGGGGAGCCGATGTAATCGTGTTGCCCGGACGTTGTATCGCAAAATTGGGCATAAATAGAAATAATTTTCTAGCAACATATAAAACGTTACATGAATACTCGGGGACCTAGTAAGGTAAAATGTAGGGGTAACACTCATATTTTAGAATTTAAAGTTGCTGATGTAAATTTCACCCCAATACTTGGTAAATATGCATTTGAAAAACTAAACTTGATCAAAGGGATAAGTACCTAGAATTGTTGCAGCCTAGTATTATTAACAAGCACCACGACGTCTTTGAAGGACTCGGCTGCTTACTTGGTGAATTTAAGATTAGACTCAAATTGCAGATCTGTAATTCAAGCTCCGAGGAAAATTCCTTTGACTATCAGAGATCAAGTACGGGAGAAATCAAATGAAATGGTTTCTCAAGCTATCATAGAAAAAGTGGAGGGTCCCACAGACAGGGTGAGTAGTATAACTATAGTAAAGAAAGCAAATGGGGAATTGAGAATTTGTCTTGATCCAAAAGAAAATAACTTAGCAATTAAGTGTGAACGTTTTAGACTCCCCCACTATAAACTAAATTTTAGAAAACCTTTCAGGGGCAACAGTTA